GCTTCGCGATCCCCTCTGAGCGTAGGCCAGCGAGGAGGAGGCTTCTGCCCTGCCAGTCCTTGGCGCCAAGGATGAGCTTGGCTGTGTTCGGGTCGTGAGTCTTGTCGATGCGCAGGAAGGCGACTTCGTTCTGAAGGGTCTCTACGTCGATCAGAGGCTCGAGCTGAGGATCCTCTGGCTGGCATTTCTCGAAGTATTCCTCGATCTCTTTGCGTACTCGGCCTCCCACTTCGCATGTCAATAGCCCCTCCAGCATGGCGAGGGCGAGTGCGCGATGGTGTCGTTTCTGGCGTCGTTGCTGGCATCGATTCTGGCGTCGGTGCCGATGTCTCTGCTGGCTCCGGTCTTGAAGTTGATGCTTGCTATCTTCGATGCTGGCGTCAGAGCTGGCAACGATGCTGGAGTCGGTCCAGGCGTTGATGCTGCATTTGGTGCTAGCGTTGATGTTGGCGCCGATGACGGCGTCAGTGCTGGAGTCCATGCTGAGGTCGTTGCTGGCGTCGGTGCAGACGTTGATTCCTGCTGCTGCAATGAAGTCGATGTTGACCTCGATGCTGATGTTGTTGATGGTGTTGGTGCTGAATGGGATGCTGGCCCGGATGCCGGAGGAAAGTGGTCTTCGACGCTGGCGTCGATACTGTTGGTGTCGATACTGTCGTCGATCCGGCCTGTAGTGCTGGAGCCAACGATGCCTTCGATGCTCGCTTTGATGCCAGGGTCGATGCTGGCGTGGGTGCTGGCACCGATGGTGGAGTCGATGCTGGCGTCGGCGCAGACGTCGATGCTGATTCTGGTGCGGTTGCTATCTTCGGTGCTTGCGCGGCCCTCAGTGTCGTTGGCGCTGATCCTCCTCCTCGATCGCCTCGTCCACCTCCTACTCGGCCAGGGCCTTCGCCCCCCTGGTGGTTATCTGACGTGGCATCGGATCCAGCGTCGTCGACGAAGTTGGAGATGCCGTCGGTGCTGGCGTCGGGCTTGGCGTCGGGTAGGGCGTCGGCACCGAAGACGGCGCGGGTGCGAACGTCGGCGTGGCTGTAGGGCTCGGCTCGTTCGCTGGGGCTTTCCTCGGGGGGTGCCAGCCGACCCTCCGCTTGTCGGTCGCGGTCGCTATTGTGGCGCTGCTGCTTTCAGCGCTGCTGGTCGCTGTTGCGGTGGTGCCGTTGCTGGTGGTAGTCGTGGTACTCCTGGTCGTTCGGCGGGACGCTGGGTGGTAAGTCGGGAAGGGTGTCAAAAATGGCGTCGGGGTTGGTGCTGTTGATGCCAGCCGAAGTGTTGGCGATGGTGTTGTCGTAGGCGTTGGCGTTGGCGCCCGCGCAGCTCGAAGCTGTGATTATTATTTTTCTCTGGCCGAAAGGGGATGCCGAATGCGGTGTCGGACTGTGCGACTGCTGCAGTGGCCGTCCTGTCGGAAGCGAGGGGCACGACACCGTAACTAGAGGACCCGCCGCACTGGTCGGCGACGATGCCGTATTCTAGGATGGGGCCGGAGAGGCTGAACGTGGCGTGCAAGGCGTCGCGGCCGACGCCTGGGCCCATGTGCTGCACGCAGGTGGCCGCAAAAAGCCCTGTCGATGCTTGAACCGCATGCTAGAGCCGCTGGCGTCGATGCGCGGGGCAGACGTCGGGAAGGGCGTTGTGTTGGGCGTCGTGGTGACTGCCGGGACTGTTTGCGCGGGGGCAGTCGGTCGGGGCGTTGGTCTGGTCGTCGAGCTGCGCTGGGCGTCGGTCTGGGGGTCGGGCTGGGCGTCTGCAGGGGGGTCGGGAGGCGCAGGGCGTTGGTCTGGGCGTCGGGCTGTGCTGCGCGTCGGGCGGGGCGTTGGGCTGGTGGCAGTGCCGTTCAGGAAGGTACTGCCGCTGATGCCAACAGGGCCCACGATGGTGATCATCGCCGGGCCTGGCGTCCTGCCTCCTCGTCCCCCCCCCGCCACCGCAGCCGCCAGTCCGCCAGTCATCTCCGCCGCCGCCGCCGCCAACGCGGCCCTCCCCGCCGCCGCCTCATCCGCCGCATCCGCCGCCGCATCCAGCACCTCCGTGGCTGCATCCCGACCTTCCATCCCGAAGAGCTCCGTGCGGCGCTCCCGATGACGCCGTGCTTCCTGCCCTCGGCTGTGGCCGTGGGCCTGGTCGTGCTGCGGGGGTCCGCGGGTCTCCTCCACGGCGCGAGGGGCGGCCCAGGCGGGCAGCGCTGGCGTCATCCCGTAGCCCGCGGGGCCCCCGCCGCCCAGATGCTGGCGAGGATTAAGGCGCGATGCCACCGAGCGAGGCCGCGGCGCCGCTGCAGATCTCGCAGCCTCCGCGGCTGCATCCGCGAGGCTGGCCGCCGTCGGGGAGGCGCCCCCACTCTTCTTCGCGCGGCCTGGTGGGGCGTCGGGTGGGGCGTCGGGAAAGACGTTAGTAGGTAGGGCGTCGGGGGGAACGTGGGGCGGTTCGTCGGACGGGACTGGGCTGATCTGTATCACGACGTACTGGATGCTGCTGGTGGTGCCGATGTCAGTGCTGGTGGTGGCATCGGCGTGGGTGCTGGCGTTGGTACTGCGGTACTCCCTGCAACTGGCGTCAGCGCTGGTGGCGGACGCGTTGGCGCGGTTTGGAAAAACAAAAACAAAAAACGCGACCCAGTCTTGGCATGCTGCACCTATGGGGACTCCGAGGCCATGAACTTGGCGGCTGTTGCGAGCTCGCGGCAGGGGACGGGGGGGGCGCGAAGGCCCCTTGCTGCCTGCAGATGCTTCGCGGGCGCTGTGACCGCCATCGCGCGGCGCCGCCGCCGCGCTCGTCGCCGCCCTGCATGGGCCCGGCCAGCCCGCTCCCCAGGCGCGGGGGGGGGGGGCCGCATGTGACGACTTCCTCCTCCTCCTCCTCCTCCTCCTCCTCCTCCTCCTCCCTCCTCCCTCCTCCTCCCCCCTCCCCCTCCTCCCCCCTCCTCCTCCTCCCTCCTCCTCCTCCTCCTTTTCTTCTTCCTCCTCCTCATCCTCGTCCTCGTCCTCCTCGTCCTCGTCCTCGTCCTCCTTCTCCTCCTCCTCCTCCTCCTCCTCCTCCTCCTTTTCTTCTTCCTCCTCCTCCTCGTCCTCGTCCTCCTCGTCCTCGTCCTCGTCCTCCTTCTCCTCCTCCTCCTCCTCCTTCTCCAACGCTTTTCCTCATAAACACATTTCTCCCTGTCGCACCCTGAAGCCAGTTTTTAGGGCGGGCCGGGCGTTTCGCCTGAGACTCCCTCACCATGTATGATTATGAAGCGTCCTCCTCCACCTCCTCCTCCTCCTCCTCATCCTCCTCCTCCTCCTCGTGTTGCACCTGCTCCTCATGCTCCCCCTCGTCCTCCTCCTGCTGCTCCTGCTCCTGCTGCTGCTGCTGCTGCTCCTCCTCCTCCTCCTCCTCCTCCTCCTCCTTTTACGCTGTCCAGGCGTAGGTTCATGAGCCCGTTGCGGCCCCCCATCCTCAAACAGTGAGGCGATAGGGGAGCAGGCGAAACGTTTTATGTTCGCGTAGCGTGTCAAGGCTGCGTTGCAGTAGCACGCAAGGGCCGCACAGCTTTCAAATTTGGCGTCAGAACTATGGAAGAGGCAGTTGGAATAATTGCACCATCAGCCAACCACTACCTGGCACAACAACTAATACATTAGTAGACAACTGCTGCAAGCGTGAACAAGGTTTCCAAGACAGACCATGCAGGAAGATACCAGAGATGCGTGCGCCCTTGGTTCGACATCTACCTTACACGACGGTTTGAACACTGCCCCTGGCATGTGCACACGCTGGCTCCTAAACTCCGCACTTTCCGGCCATAGAAGCCCACTAGGCTCGCCTCAAGGTTCGAGGTCATCGGCCGTTTTCGTCGGATCCCCTAGGTTTTCCAGCTTCCAGGGCGCTTTCCCGCAACTTCGCCTCGCCGAGAGCGTCCCTGGGGTGCCCAGGTCGTCCTGCAGGGCCTCGCCGAGAAAATGCCGAGGGGGGCCCGGATTGTCCCGAGCGGCCGCTGGAGACTCGAGTTTTGACCCGACGAGCACGGGTAAGGTGTTTGTTCCCTCCCTGCCTCTTCTTCCTCCTCCCCCCGTTACGTTGCCCATGCGCACGGTCGGGAGCTTTTACTCAGCGTGTCGCGGCTGTGGCCCCGGCGACACGCTGTGCCGAGCACGCTGAAAGCGTGTCGCTCCGCTCCGCGGGGCGGGAGTCTGGGAACAGCTCGGGGGGTTGACGTAGGGAATACGGAAGTGGATAGCGTGTCGCGACGAAACGTGGTGAGCCAGAACCGGCGGAACGACACGCTAAGCCACAGCCCTTGACCGTAAGTCCATAGGACCGTTGCAGCCTCCCTCCTTCTTCTCTTCCACCCCCGCCTTCTCTCAAGCAACGAGGATCTTACTTTTCCACATGTTCGGCGGTTGTGAGGCCTTGGGGGGCCTCCGGAAGCCCGTGGGTGCTTCATCCGCCTCCTCATCATTCTCCTTCCCTTCGAAGATAACACAGAACCGCCGACAGTAGTCTAATCCCCGACATTTGCGGAACAATCCTTCTCACCTCCTGCTCCTGCTCCACCTCCACCGCCTGTTCCTGTTCCCTCTCGTGCCCCTCATCCGCCTTACGTCCGACATCCTCCATCATCGTCCCTCCCTTGTCAATTTTCCTTCCTCTCTCCTCGTTCCCTCCTTCTCCTCACCCTTCTCATCCTCCAAGCCTTTCTCTTGCCATCCTAATCCTTGTCCTCCTTCCACCGTCCTCCATTTGTTTCTTGTCCCTCCTCTCTCCTCCTAGGCTCTCCGCCTTCTCTTCTCCCCTCCTCATCCACCGCATCTTCCTCCTCCTCCTCCTCCGACGGCGACAACGGCGCCGACGACGCCGACAACGACGGCCACAACGCTGACGACGCCGGCGCGGCCGACGACGGCGCGGCCGACGACGCTGACGCCGACGATGCTGACAACGACGAGGGCGACCACGACGACGGCGACGGCGACGCCGCTGACGACGACGTTGACGACGACGAGGGCCCAACAAGGCAGGTCCTGCACCAGCTGCGCGGCCGATCTGGTCGGGAAGGGTGGCGTCTGCGCCCTCCTCTCCTGGAGTGGGAAAAGAATACGAGGCGGGGATTTATCCATATCCAACGCCTGGGAACCGATTTCCTGGTGCCCCAGCGGGCGGTGGATATGGATATATGATGGCCCCCGAGGGCCCGAACATGTCCATACCCACCGCCTGCCGAAGCCCCCGAAAATTGATCCTTCAGGCGGCGGTCATGTATAATTTCCTGCCTCGGAAAAAAAGAAACGCCGAACGGGGCAGGACGCATGACGCAACCTGGACCGTGCAAGCAACGAGTCGCGAGCACGACAGGGCAAGATATCTTGCGAGCACCACTACAACAAGAGGTGCACAACTGCGAACGAGCAAGTAGTGAGGCAGGTGAAGCAAGAGCCGCCCTGGAAGAACTCCAGCGAGAAAGGCGCCCAATATGGCACCGGTCGAAGGAGACTTGCCGTCCAAGAGCCAGCACGTCGCGGGGTAGGGTAGAAAGAGGAGGAGGAGGAGGAGGAGGAGGAGGAGGAGGAGGAGGAGGAGGAGAAGGATTACCAAGCGCGCTATAGGCTTAAAGGGTACCTAAACCATCTTTAAGGATGAGGCGGTCACATCCTCAAAGTTGGAGGTACTGCCGAAAACTATCGGCCACCTGCTGATACCAAGGGGGCCAAACCCCACTTATAGCTTTCGGCCGTACCTCGGGATAGGGTGCGTATCCGTGACGAATAGCTGCTCGAATTTCCACCCCTCATTCCCGGACTCGGAAGATCCGAAATACAACAATTTACGTATCATCGAGCAGCTATTCTATTCGACCGTCGGTCGAGTGGCAAACTCTGGCACCATGGACCCTCCCCGATGCTCTTCGACCGTCGGTCGAATGAAACGCCCTGGCCCGTGGACCCCCTGCCACAAACCTCGGGGAGGGTAACTGGCCCTCGGCGAGGCATTCTATTCGACCGTAGGTCGAATGACGAGCTCTGGCACCGTGGGCTCCCCCCCGATTATATTCGACCGTCGGTCGAATGACACGCCATGGCATCATGGACCCCCTGCCACAATTCTCGGCGGGGGGGGGTCAGGGCCGGACTCGGAAGATACAAATACAGATATTACGTATCATCGAGCAGCTCTCTGCGAAGCCATAGCCTGGAGGAGGAGGAGGAGGAGGAGAAGGAGAAGGAGGAGAGCGAGGGGAAGGACGTAGAAGGAGAACGTGGAAAAAGGCGAGGAGGAGGAAGAGGAGGAGGTGGGGAAAGGGGAGAGGGGCGCCCTCCAGCGCGCAGATCGCCCACGTGTGAGCCAGCAGCGCCTCCAGGGAGGCCATCCGCGGCGCGCCGCTGACCAGCTCGGCCAGCTGGCCCTGCTCGGAGGCGGCCAGCAGCCGCTCCTCGGCAGCGTCGCTGCCGTCCTCCTTCCGCCCGCCTCGGCTCCTCGCCTCGTCCCTCCTCCACCTCCTGCTCATCCTCCCGCTCTTCCTCCTCCTCCGCCTCCTCCTGCGCCTCCTCCTCCTCCTCCTCCTCTCCTCCTCCTCCTCCTCCTCCTCCTCCTCCCCCTCCTCCTCCTCCTCCTCCTCTCGTCCTCCTCGTCACTCCTCCTCCTCCTCCTCTCCTCCTCTCCTCCTCCTCCTCCTCCTCCTCCTCCTCCTCCTCTTCCACGAGCCCTCCTCGTCTTGCTATCCACCACCGTGCCCCCCGGCACGCCGAGGCGTGGGCGAATGCCACGATCTGCCTGGCACGCGTCCTATCGGGCTTCAGTGCGGGGTCTGCCCCCTGCCCCGTGCTCGCAGACTGCTGCGTGCACCGCCCCTCCCTTCCGGAGCCACCTCCCCCGTGCCCGCTCGGGGATGGTGCACCCCGCAGCAGGGCAGCGAACGCCGAGTTCAACCCCTTTTCCCACGCGGGCCCGCTCGAGGATGGTGCACCTCCCGCATGGCAGCTGATGCCTGACCCCCCCCCTTCCACGTGTAACCGCTCGGGGGTGGTGCGCGTCCCGCTTTGCCTGGCGCTGCTCCCAAGCGCTCCAGGGCATCCCAAGCCACGATCCCTTGTTGAAACGATGGAAACGCGTCCCCAGCTTCCAAGTCAAGGACACCAAGGTGGCCCAAGATGCCTCGAAGACTGCCAAAGATGGCCCCAAGGCGGCCGAATATTGACTCAAGACGGCCCCAGATGCCTCCAAGAGGGCACCAAGAGGACCTCAAAAAGGGTCCGAAGAAGCCAAAATCATGGACTCCTTTTTGGGTTTTCGAGCGATCGTCGCATTCTCGCCTTTTGCGGGCTGCCGTCAGCTCAAGACGGCCCAAGAGGACTCCACGATGACCCATGAGGCATCCAAGACGGTCGAATCCGCATCGAATCCACGCCAAGTCCGAGTCGAGTCCGCATCGAGCCCACGCTGGGCGCAAGAAAAAAGACACCACATTCGGGGACCGGCGAGGCCCCTGCAGCTGCAGCGCCAGGAGCCGACTCCTCGCGACCCGCG